ACAAAGAATGACTTTAAACAATCGAAAGCATGCTTATTATAAACGATATCCAAACTGCGCGATTTTATAACCAATCGCATATCCGACTGTATATCCGGGGGACCTTTTTCATAGCTTAATTGAAACCACGGCTCTGGTGCAGAGTCCACATGCTGTTCTTTGGTGAAGAAGCGTTTGAAATCAACCAACTGGTAACCGGTGCTGGGTGGTAATGGTTTGGTAGGCAGTTCATCGAATTGCGGCTTGACCAAAAATGGAAATTCTGTATTTTTCGTTAATTTATCTTTGAGACAAACTGAACCCAATGATATGCCAATTACATAGGTGCTGAATTTCGGCTTCATTTCAATGAACGAAATCAAATTTTGAAAGTCCATTTCGAAATTAACCGCCGTTCGTTCATAAGCAACATCTTCAGTACTCACAATTAATTGCCCGTCAACTAATATAAAGCTAAAATAACCGAAAACCATATCGCGTTTCGAGAATGGATCATTCTCTATCGTATCTTCTAACGCATTAAATATATCGTCTTCAATGTTTTTATATGCCTCATCTTGTGCTGTCACAACACTGCTCTCTGTGTTGCCATACCAACCCCACCAGTTGGGAAACCAATGGAACAACATGCTTTTGCCGTGATTTATGGAATTTGCTCTTAAATTTACATCATTTGTAAAAATATTTGTGCGGCAAACAGTACGTAGATTATGTAATTCATGTAACTCTCTTGTCTTTTCCATATGCGCTTTAAAATCCCGCTCTTCGGCGGTAATATTATCATTTGGATTTATTAGCAGTCGCTTGTAAATACGCATATAACGCAAGTTTTCTCTTAATTTAGTCCATTTATTTTCATTACTGCGATGTATAAAACCATGACATTTGGCGGCATATTTCCACCAAAGTGTAGCGTTTTCGAAAACTTCGCAAGATGGACGCATCAATTTGTAGGAACGCGTGCGATTAATCTGCCGTAGACCATAAACACAGTCAACTATTTGCTTGTACTGCAGCTAAAAAATATATATTTTTATAAAGTTATATGAAGTATATTTATGAATATATTTTAATACATACGTCACTGACAGAGATTTTTACTTCCTGCACCTGAAATTCGCAATTTAAACGCGGCTTGGATTTTGAGCGAATGGCTTGCTTGCAGCACTCCCGTTTGAAATGTGCATGCGCACTTATTGGTTGCAATATATAATGGTGTTTGCGAGCATCGCACAACTTATTCATGTGTTCCAGTAATTCTTTGGATAGTAATTGTGAACAATGATTGGCCTCTGTCAGACGATCCCAATATAAAGAAAAATCCTTTAGTTCGATAAGTTTGTATGATATGTTTTGATCTGCAGTCGCATTTGAACGCGCTTGCCAATTACTGTCACAGCTCTGTACAGTTAATGAGTTAATTTTAATGCCGGCAGCAAAATATATACCCTTCACAGTTATGGCGTCTTCGTAACGTATGTGTACATCGTTAATTTTCAGCTCCAGGTTCTCAAGAATATTCGTGGCTAGTGTGGTGCCATAATTAAGCCAACTTGTATAAGAATTTGAGTAGTAGCTATCAATTTGGTAACCATTCTCAACGCGCCACTTGGCTTCTTTGGCATCTAGTTCTGCAACTTTAAATTCATACTCGGAATTCTTCTCCTTTTCATCATCCCAATCGTCAAGGTCTTTTGGTCCAAACACCCCATAAATACGCTCAATAATTATACACCATGGCGCAGTGCGAAACTGACGCACTGGTATTTGCAGTTTTATCTTGCCAATGTTCCCCGAGTGCACTTGAACGGGTATTCCGAATGATCGCAGTGCATCTTTTCTGATTGGAACATTCTCTAATTCGACTTCGCCTGAGAAGGTAAAAAATACATTAGTTTGTAAACAAAAACATATACTTATAACTATTGTTATTGTTATCTTATCTATATTCTTCATGCAAACGAATATTAAATTATGTATATATTATACTTACATGTCAATGGAAACAAATACTAGATTTAATTTCAACTAGATAGTTTCAAAAGAGTTCTATTCAATATTTAAATTTTCCCGTTTGCATGCGAAAGTACAAAGGTGTATGTGTAGATTCAATTTGCTTAAAAGTTTTTATTTGTGTAAATCTGTAAACATCGCATTCAACACCCTATAAGGTTTTTATTTTGAGTGCGAAATAAAACAAGGCCCGGAATTGTTAAATAAATAAGAAACGCAATTTAGTGTACAATTTTGCATTGCAGACAACGTTTTTTTTATATTAAATTCGACTTTTCACCGATTTACATGAACGTTAACTGCTACAAAATTGTCATAAAATGTAATGCACACAAGTTTTCAACAACGCACCTGAAAGCAACGCCACTGACAACTGCTGTGGATTAAAATCTTCCAAATATTTGCCAAGGTATGTATTTAAAACCCACGATATTAATTCGTTCAACATAGTTTGTATTTATCGCACTATTATCAGAAATTCAGGTAAGCAAAACCTTTTGTTTACCAGAAATCACGATTTCATAATGGAAATGACAGTAATGACCAAGAATTAGGAATGAGAAAATAAATTGTATAAAAGTCGAGCTATAAATAAGAATCCCGAAAAAGAAATATTGGAAATAAAATCGAATCAGAACAATTTGTTCGGTATAAAATGAGTATCACCACGTAGATTAATATTGTTGGCGACATTTTCGATTAAAAACTTTTTCAGCTTAATTTTGCTCTTTATGAAAATATACCAAAAAGATATGCTTGCTAGAACTGTAATTGTCTTTTCTATATTCCAGTTAAAAGCTATTTCTGTATAATAGTTATATGGTTTTGAGTTAATTTTAAAATTTAACTATGTAAAATAACGACATATACATAAATACTGCTTATCTCTACAAATATCGTTGTATGTCTTATATTTTAGTCGATGGAGCAGATGTGCTGCTTTTTGTACATCTCAAAGTGTTTTGATTTCTCCTAAGTGTTAACCTTTGCTTTGAATTGTTTTGTTTTCTATGTGTTGGACGCTTTTGAAAACCATTTTTATAGCCTGAACACGGTATATTAAAATTGCCGCGAAGTTTATAAGACCCAGAAGAAAACACGCTTTTAAAATAGTCAGCGGCAACTATATCTATCCGTACATACCCATTTTAACCCCAAAATCCGAGGATGCTATTCTAAAATTTACCATATATCTTTATATAATATATAAAAGTACGTGTCACGTTGTTTCGCGATGGACTCCTAAACTACTGAACCTGAATGGACGCTCTAAAACGAACAGCTCTATTAACTAGAAAGAAAAGCCAAACATTGGGAAAGCAGTTTCCAATTTGGTATTTTTTGCAATGACATTTATTTGTATGAACATATTCAAAATTAAACTTCAAGTACAATCCCTTGGATTCTTACTATATACCTGTATTTTCATCGTATTGAATAGTTTATTATATGAATAATGGTGTAAAACGTATACCACTGCAACGCGTGGCTGGATCCCCTGTATATATATATATATATACCTACATATACATTGTACATACAGCACAATTATCTGACTTGATTAGTCCGTTTGTCTGTAAATTCGTGAACCAATCCCTCAGTTTTTGAGATATCATACCATAAAAACAAAACGATACATGTCCTTATATGAAAAAACTATTTAATTTGAAAAAATATCTTTTCGAATGTTACTTGTGTCAACACTATAATCTCCGAATAAATTTTTCAGATTGGACCAGTATAGCATATAATTGCCATTCAAACTCTCCGATTAAAATCAAGTTCAATTCAAACGACAGCCGGTTCTACGTACCGGAATTGACTCGGATTTCATCCGACCAAAGGCTTTTTTTTTCAGCGATCTAACCCCGTTTGGATCGGTGAGTGTTAATTTGTGTGCGTCGTTATTGGAGCAATGCCTTGCAGCGGGGTTGCTCCGTATCCTCCTGACATGTGCTGGCATTGTGTCCAACCCGAGCCCGGAGGAATTTTTCTGCTGCGTTTGCCCTAAAATTTCCATCCAAACACCATTTCGGTCAGGTGCAATACATGCAATTTTAAGACCTGCTCAGGCCTTAAGACTCATAGGGAGTGGAACACGCGTTACGTGGCTCCATGTTGCCTAGGCAATACTGCGACGCTAGCCTCTACGGCTGTGCAATCTGCACACAGTTCGCGCGCTACGTCGCCACTCACCTCGAGTGGCCAATAGAGGATCTCCACGGTCCCCAGGAACTTAAACAGGCAACATAGGCAACATAGCTCCCACTCTGACTTGCCCACCCCTAACCTTCATCCCGCTCCAATCCTCGCGCGAGAACCAATCAGCAACTCTTGGTTCCTCGCACAGTCTGTTCGTGTGTCAGACCGTCATACGTCAGAAAGTTACGTCAGTCAAGTTACCCCATGCTGCAGAAGTCTGCCCCCGCAACACACACCAGTGGCGTCGCCAATCAACACCCTAGTGAGACAACCGTCCTTACGGGTTCTGCAGCTGCAACAAATACCACCCTCACGTCACTTCCTCACTCCCAGGACCGTCCACGGACACTCGAGATAAACCCGGCTGCTTCAATTTAACTACAAAGGACTCCAGAGCAAGATCGCGGAGATAGTTACACTCATGAATCGGTTGCGCGTATCGATAGCTGTGGTCCAAGAAACCAAGCTGAACAACCGCCCAGATCTTCTGAGTTGTGCCTGTTTCAACGTAATACGTACAGAATACCAGTGAGATTGTGGTGGTGGCCTGGTCTCCATATGGCACAACACCATGCAGTATCGTCTAATCAATGAAGACATCGACCGCAGAAATACTACCCTTGACAACAGATACAACAGATTCTGCACAATGAATGACGAAGCCCCCACCAGAGTTATGGGCACCTGTAGTAACTTGCCCGATATTACCATTGCTAGTGGTGGTCTGATAAATAGCATAACCTGGCGACTTAAGCTAACTCTCGTATAAGACTATCTGCCCCGAGAAACCTGGCGGTTTCGTTTATGTGGACAACCGTACCTTCGTTAACTTTAACAAAGCTAACATGGTCGGCTTTCCAGAATTTACTGAGAGCATCTTTAACGCTTTACCCATTCCTACGGACGTATGCGTTGGCGAACGTCAATTGCGCAAGGTGATCGCAGCAGCTACTGCTCGCTTAATCCCAGCTGGACGAATAGCGGAAATCCGCCCCAACTTCCTAGCCGTTTTAGCTAACGAGCGTGACACCTTACACCATGCCGATCCCTGGGATACCCGAATAAGGGATCTCAATTTGGAGATTGTGCGTATGGTAAACCATCATAAGCGGACGAAAAGGATAGAACACCTGAAGTCCTGTAACCTCTCCACCGGTGTGAGTAAACTTTGGGCTACTGTCAAAGCTTTGTCTAACCCGAAGAGACACGACGACCGAGTTGAAGTTCAATTCAATKGTCATGCCTCTTCGGACCCGAAGAAGTGCGCGAGCTATTTTAGCCGACAGTTTACACTGTATACTTCGGTAGACAAAACCAAACGATGCGTTGACCGACGGCTGCGCAAAATGCCAAACGACTGATGCCACTTGTTTTCACCGATGACGAGGTTCAGGGTGTCATCACCATGCTGATGCTAAAGCATCCAGGCTCGACGGGAGTAAGATATCTCATCAAGGTCCTCAACTTGTCGCTGACCACTCTTCAAATACCCGATGTGTGGAAAGTCGGAAGAGTGGTCCCACTACTGAAACCTGGGAAATCCGCCAACAAAGGGGAATCTTATCGACCGATAACTCCTGAAGACACTTGAGGCCTTGCTACTCCCGACCCGAGTCTCATCGACCGATAACTCTCCTCTTCCCAGTAGTGAAGACACTTGAGGCCTTACTACTCCCGACCCGAGCGGTCGTCAGTCATCCTGTTTAACTTCTAAATCTCGAAACTCCCGCAACCACTAGAGGGTTTTCCATAACCTCGTACGCAGATGACTGCACGACATTGACGTCGGGCAATGGAATCGATGGCATGTGTACGAAGGTAAACTACTACCTCACCGACCTTTCTCGTCAAGATTTTATGTGTACCCTTCGATAGTGTATACTCCTTCTCTCCCCATACGACCGCGAATATAAAATAATAATTTTGACTTCCGGTTTAGGTTTATTTGACATGATTGCAGAAAAGTATTAAATACCATATTGTAATTTTTTCATACTTTTACGATTTTAATTATCAAAACAACTTACGTTCAAAATGCTACAGTATATGTATTTCAACAAGAAAAACTGTTTGAAAACATAAAACTATTGTAATAATAGTAGTATTAATCATATGTACATTATATTATGTATATAAATATATTTTTAATAATTACTGTAAAATCTCCGGGTAGAAATGTTTACATTGTATAACAATTTGCTTTAAAGTTCGGCTTATATAGTCTTCACATTGTGCTTTGTTCCGAATAGTTTTCTTATTTAATTCATTAACATTCTTAATAATATTCGATTCACTTAGTCGAGAATACTTTTCCATTGACCATGAATCCTTCCGGTGAACGAGATTATAGATAGCAAAAAGTGTGCCCGCTTGAAGTTTTCTATCATGGTGGAACTAAAAGAGATATGTATTTAACAATATTAACTCTTTTATGAATTTATGGAATTAATGTACCAGAAATACAGCCAAGTGAGCCATGATTTTATTATTCATTATAATGTAATCACCATTCTCATCTTCAGCAGAAATATTGCCAATAATACAGAACGCTTGTTCTTTAACTTCCGACGAATGATCGGATTCTAGTAACTTATTAATAGCTTCGAGCACCTCACTTGAATACGCTCTCATTATTATTTCAACATGATGAGTTTTACTCAGTAAATTTCGTAACAGCCCTAATGTTTTCATCACAATCCTGGTATCGCTATCATTCACCAGTTCCAGTATACGCTTGGTACCAAGCATATTGATAATATCAGTTTTCACATACATTTCGGACTGAAATGACATATTCATTAAAGCCCATATGCTATTTAATCTTAGGGAGGGATCTGCGTGCATAGTATATTGGCACAATCTCTCAATAATGCCGGCATTAATTATTGGTTCCTTGGATGGCGAAAATTCCAAAAGTAGATTACAAATGGTTGAAGTAACAGCAACCAAGAATTCAATAGAAGTTTCTGTTGTAAATATACCCATTAGAGGTTCCCAAATTGTATAGTCCTGTAAATATTTACTTTTTACATTTATAATGTTGATATACGAAATAGAGTTATCTACTTGAAACGTGGTGCGTAACTGTTGCACAGATCTGGACAGCGAGTGCAGACATCTAATTGCAGACAATTTTACCTTTTACAAAAAGGAATACAAAATATAGAAAAACTGATTATAAACTATAAACCGGAAAAATATGCAACACACCCGTGAGTTAGAATCTTTTAAGCCATTTAATATAGCATTTATCAGACCGTAGGTGTCCATTAAACGCTTTCTTATCGCTTCATCATTCGCACCTAAAGACGCAAAACAACAGAGCGCCGCTTGTTTAACTCCAGGGTCTTGACTTTGCAATAAATCGGATAGTGACTTCAGCAAATGATTCGTAATAGCTGCGGTGCGTTGCAGTTCCGAATCAATCTAAAAAAAGGTATATAATGTTTATTCGATATATATGCATCTAATTAATTTTGCACGCACCTCTATAAGATAGGCTAGTGTTTCAGAAGCAGACGCTATAATTGAATGATCAAAACTTTCGGCACATAAACGTGCTAAGGTGGGAAGTGCTTTTTGCGATATTCTATTATCCGTAGAGGGCAGAGTACCCGACCTGTAAATATAGGTTAAGCATCTGGCCGCGATTAACTGTATTTCAGCAGGAAACAGTCTCGACGTTAGAGAATTGAGTATGTCTGGCAGAGATCTGCCTTGAAAACTGTCATATAGAAGAATATTACACAATGTCAAAAGTTTTAATATTAGAGCCATTTGAAAGTGATTATGATCAGTGAAAGAGAGAGAAGGGGGAGTTGGGGGATATTACTTCCCTACAGTTCTCAGAGTACCGGGCCTCTGTAAAAATGTTTTGCAATTCTTTTTTTTTCAGCAATTCTCTACAAACATCCCCCTCAGTTTTCTCTCTACGGCACTAATTATGATAATAACCTTATAACACAAATATTGTCTGCGACCGATCGATTTGAATAGCACATGCAGGATAAACAACGCAGCGCCGGTATTTGTATATCTTCGTTGTCATAGCAAATCATACGAGATAATATTTGCAATGTGCCCGCATGCAGAAGTCGCAGTTGATCCTCATTTGTCTGACACACCGACACAAGTATGCTGGTTATGCATATTTGTGTTTTTAATGAGCTCCCCGCAGAAGCAAGACCTAAAAGTAAATTTATCAATAGAAATATACATATAACTAGTATATATATTTAAGGATTGCACTTACGCAAAAAATGTTTTAAAACATCCGTGTTGGCAAGAAAGTTTTCCTTGGGAGCGCATGTATGCCCAAATATTGACCGTAATGTGCTGAGACACGTTTCAACGCATTTTTTACTATTATCCTTTGACATAATTTCTTTTAACAAATATGGTACGATATTATATTGTTTAACCAGACACTCAACTTGTTCCTCCGATCCTTTCGCCAAAGAACCTGCAAAAAAAGAACCTGAATTTGATTATATAGTTTTTATGCATCTTATGCTATAAATGTCCAGCAAATTTTCATAAATACGTACATTTCATTAACAAATTGTGCGTAAACAAGCATTTTAATTTCCTAGATTTTGAGAAATTAAGAATTTTGGTAAAGATATATAGTATATCTTTTTAATAATATCCAAATTAACAGTTGCGGCTTAAAATCTATAGTTTGCCAAATTACTAAACACGTCCTTACAAATAAACGCACACAAAAATTTACCGCATTTTCACAAATTAATTTGGAAACAGTTTCACTTTACCTAATATGACCAGTGCATCCATTTTTCGATCTGGGCTTTGAACTTGGTCGATGCAAGTGTTGAGTATGATAGGCACCAAATCATGCGAGATGAGTGCACCTTTCTGTTTGTTACTACCAATAACTGCATCTTTAATTTTTATCAATGCCTCTCTGCAGTCAACACCATCACCATTCGAGATAACATATTTAAGTTCTTCCCAATTTGCTTCCTGAGCTAGAGTCCACATTTTATGTATTATTTAACAAAAAAAAGCTATCCCAAATACCATCCCGAAGTATATGATATAAATCCAATTAACATGTCAATGCTGCTTCTTCCATAAAATTAGTTCAAAATAGACAAGTAATTTTTTGTAAATACTTGCTATGCTCACTGTCAGTTGTTTTAGCAGTATGCAATAAGCGCAATTTGCCATAATCTAGCTATGCTAATCAGAACCAAACCTTGTGGGAGTTTTCATTCTAATTATCTGTAGTTTTGTAGCCTAGAATGTAGAATAATCAGAAAATGGTTTTTGCTTGCAGCCAATTTGTTTAGAATAAAGGTTGAATAAGGTCAATTCAATTCGGTACATTAGGCTGTCTTGTACAATATTTTAAATGGCTTATATTTTGTACGAGTGTAATATATAATATAATGTAATGTGTAACGGTAAAACCTGTCCTGTACTGACGCTTAGTATATTGACTGACGGTTTTTTTTTTTTTTGATAAGTTTCAATATGCAACTGCTCTGAGAAATAGCATACTGCACTATTATTGATAATTTCTCATTTGAAACGTTTGAAAATCGAAAGTTGTGCAGAAATATTATTGATTTTAGTGTGGAGTTTTAATTGTAGAATTAACTAATCAAAAATGAGAAGAGGAATACGGTCTACTACAGAAAAATTAACTCTTTGGAGACTGGAATAATCCTTCTCAAATCGTGAAAACATAGGAATGTTCGAAAAAATGGTATATTATGCTAACACATAAGTCAATTCGGATTATAAGAAAAAAACAAAAAATAAAATCCGGAATTCTCTTAACGTAAATCCACTTCCAAAGTTGATAGAATAATTGTAAGAAAGTGCAAAGTTGATTCATTTTAGCCTCCTGCGCCATTATGGAAGAACTTAATGAAGCATTTGGCTTAAACATATCCATCGGGTTTGTCAGAAGACGCCTCAATGACACTCACCTCTACGACAAAAAAACACTTCTAAAAACAAAAATATAAATGTGCGGATTGCTTTCGCTAAGACTTGTGGTGATGGAAATTTTTGGAAAAGAGAATAATGATGCGGTGAAACAAAAGTAAATCGAATTGGACCGATGGTAAGACGTTTCTTCATGGTAAAGTATGATGGAGGTAATGTCATAGTATGGGATGCATTTTCATGGTATAGAGTGGGATAATCTTGAATAATCGGGGACATCTATAAAATTTTTAACAAGGTAATGAGTGATACAGTAATTTCTTTTACATTATTTCATACAAAAGTTTCCTTTTTTACAGAATTCCGGAAGTATGTTTTTTCTGTGTGCAACTGAAATCGGCGAAGGTTGAGCAAAAAAATTTTCAAAGAGAAATAAGTTTATTTA